AAACCTCTTCAGCCTGCCTCCATCTCATTGCCAAAGATTTCCTGACAGTGGAGAGATTTGTGCCTGTTTCTTCAGGTCATTTTCTGGTTGCAGCTATGTTTTGTCAGAGCCCGTTTGGGACTTGCCTGTCCGCTCACCAAGACATCTGCTCACCGAGGCGCGTTGGGGAGACTGAGCAGGATGGTCGTGATTGTTCCATTGGTGGCAGATAGTGGGAAATGCAACGATGACCCCCCGGGTGAGGGCTGATGGGGGAGGCAGCTCCCAGAATGCTGAGCGGTGACAACAGTTTGGGGAAACCCGCCGTCACCCTCCATACTTGCTCAGTGACATCACAGGAGGATTGTTTGGATGAGCCTGGGAACTCTTCATCAAGGACTGTGACTGGATGGGGAAGACGCTGTGAATCTCATTCTCTGTTATGGTTGGGGTGGGGTATTCGTTAACTATTCTAGTGGACAGGTGACCCCTATGTTAGCATGGGTGATTTTGCGAGATTCACTCGTGATGAAATATTTCACGCTGAAAGACCGAATGCAGAATAATGCCAGAGTTGCTTGTGTGCCCACAAAGGAGCTGTCCATTCTGAAAAACAGTGCTGCTTGTGCTTCTGGCGTTGTATCCAGCTGGGCAGGGCCGTCTTTGCAGTTTGCAGTGCAGACGGGGAACCCAGGTCCTGTGGGGTTCAAGGTTTCTGTGCAGACTGGGATTCATAGGCTCTGGGCCCAAGGCCAGGCTGCTCCCACTTGCGCTGTTTTGTACCAGGCGTTCGGGCGTAGGGAATGGGGGGTGTGATCTCTCAGTCAGGAGAAAGTCAGTAATGGGTTTCATATGGGAAGACAATTCTTGACTAAGATAAATTGAGTGCACAGTCTGTGCTCCCTCTGTCAGCCTTGAGCTCAAATATTAACCTTCTGTTCTTTTGTCCAATACATTTTGAGCTGTGTATGCATCTCTATCTATCTGTTGTCCTGTCTATTCTTCCACTTACCCATCCTTTCCTCCCTTCCTTTCTCCCTCTCTTCCTATATCTGTCTACTCATCTATCTATCTATCTATCTATCTATCATCTATCCATTATCTATTATCATGTATCACCTATCTATAATCTAGTCATCTATCATCTATCTATCATCTATCAATCATCTATCGACTATCTACCATCTATTCATCCATCATCTATCTTATCATCTATCATC